GTACAAATAATTATTAATAATTAATAACCTTCTCCTGTACCAGTGGGATCACCACCTTGAGCTACAAACTCTAGAGAGAGAGGGGAAGGGAGAGGGGGGAGGGAGAGAAATTACATGCACATGTAGGAAAGCAACGTAACATCAATAGATCATTCTACTTAATTAATAATTATAACTCCACCCACTAATTAATAAATATTATTAATCCATTACCAAAAACGACTCTGTGGAATATGGTATCATTATAATAATCTTCTAAACACAATTGTATGAAGTTACGACAGGCCAGAGGAGCCTCTTTGGACCACAGTTCAATATCAATATCACCCAGTGTGGTCTTTAATAGTACCTGAGGGGAGGGGCCAGTAGTCACTAATACAGCTGCTGCTGGATTAACTACCTTTCCTTTAGTAGGGGGCTCTGTTATATATATGGAACTCATTTCTGAAGCCAAATCACTGAAATGATAGTGAAATCAGGACTATTCTCCGTATATCTCAGTATATTAAAATCACGTGTTTCAAGAAAATTATTCTTAAAAAAATTAATACAAAAAATAATCAAAACCAAAATAAACATTCAGAAAAGAAATTCTATTAAGACACAAAAAGCAAAAACAATGCAGAATGCATTCAAAATATGATTACTATCATTAAAGTGTAATACCATGAAGGGATTTCAATGTAAAGTTTTATAACTTTCCAAATTTCTGTATAATCAAACCATGGGCACAATATTATATTAAAATTAAAAAAAAAACATTAACTTTTGCAAAAAACCATTACTAATAATGTCACTAATGTGTACTGTGCATATAAATCCTAGAGAATTACTTCTAGTAAAACCATCTCATTTCTTTGCTATGATGAAATGTAAAATAATAATTACTATTATTAGTAAGTCATTCCTTACTATTGATATCTCTTTCAATCCCATCAGCTACAGCATTCTCTCCTTCATCCCTCAATGCTTGTATTAATGTATCATAAGTTGGACGACCTCTTCTCATTACACTATCTCTTTGTTCCAACCATGCTGTCAAACATTTCCTTAGGCAGCTATTAGTATCTCCTTTGTTATCTTTCTCGATAACATCAAGTGTACCAGAGTGCAGTCCCAGACGAAGACCAAGTTTATAATAACTGACACCAGAATATCCATGCTTACCCAGTACATCAAGTACATCAATAAGATTACTAGTATCTAATGAAAAACATGTAAATTAATTTAATCATTCCATTCAAATTTACTCACCTAATAATCCAGTGGGTTGTACTGTGCGGGATCTTTTAGAAGGTGGACTTTCTGATGTTTCAGCTCCTAAAAAATTCACAAAAATAGTAGCTTCCAAATAAGGAAAGTATTCATATGCAATTTTAAAACATTACTAACCTGGACTGGACAGTTTATCAATAAACCAACATCTGTAGCTATCATCATCACCTTGCAGTACGTCACATTGTGATGGAAGGGTACACCTGGTAGATTTATCATCTTCCTGGAAAATGCAGTAACATTTTTCATTTTCGGGGCATTTGAAAGCAAAGATATGATCATCTTTACAATTAAGATCTTTGCAGCTGCTTTCGATAGCTTCCTTGACTAAGTCACGAATTTGTAAACAAGATTTCTTGCACTTGTCCAAACGTATTTCAATATGTGTATAGTGATTGATGATATGTATATATATTTTTTGATGAACACGAAGTGACATGGCATTGTGACATCTGTAGTATTCCATTTTATTGTCTGCTGGATCTGGACAGAAGTCTACCTTATCATCTTTTTGTTCCAAAAGGTGTACAATGGTTAAAGGAAATAATCCTTGAGGGATGGCTAGAGTTGTTGTGCTGCCATTTTTAATCTCCCATGCTATGAAAAGTGGTTGTATTTCTGTTGGGGAGTCACAGAGCTTATCATAAGATGGTAATGCACACGGAAAGAAATAGTTTCCTTCTTCTCCTACTTCAGCAATAATGTGGAGGTGTTTAAGAAGAGCGATCATGTGAGACGAGTTAAAATTTTTATTAAAAATTTGCTTACCAATATTTTTAAAAATGTCCACCTTAAAATAGCCGAAATTTTTGAGAGTTTTTCTTTCATCTATTGAAGGAGGGGGATTTGCAATTTGCTGTAATTTATCATGATTGACATATGTGATAGCTATCAAACGTGAAAGGACATCAAGAATTGGCTTAGGGTCAACAAATATTAAATCCTTTAAGATGTCAACTTCACGATAGTAGAGAATGATAGTGACATTGTGTAAATATTGGAGAGCTTCATTGATATCTGACTCTTTATCAAGTTGGAGAGATGTACCGATCTCAGTCACTTCTTCTTTTGTAAGAAAACTTCGTTTCTTCTTCTCAGCTTTTAACTGTAGTGCAATCTCAAAAGCAAACAGTTGAATTGGTAACTGAATCGTCATGGCAACTCCAAAATTTGAAATTGTAGTACAAAGCTGTATACTAGCTTCTTCCCTTTCCTTAGACCCAGCAGGAAGCAACGTATTAACTGGAAATATAATTGAGCCTTCATCCTCATTATAAGAAATGACTTTATTATTAGCTTTATATTCTTTTAGACTTTCATTCATTTCTTTCAGGTTTTTCTCATCTACCAACTCTTTACGTGTACCAAGAATAAGATAATGAGGATGATCAGGCATGCCAGTGACATAAGGAAATTTGACAGGACTCAACATAGCTCCAGAGCTAATTGTTGAGCATATCATATCGCGATTAGTATATTGTCGATTCGTATTAATAGGAGATGTATTTTGACTAATACGATATTGAAATTTGCACTTCTCATCAAGACCTTTGGTAAGATCAATGGTGATGATATTCAGTGCAGCTGCTCTTGTAAAAAGAGGTAGCAACTCTCGATATGCTGGCTGACCACCAGAATCAATAAAATAAACCCAATTTGTACTCAACTTTTTAGACTTGCCTTCTTTAAAAGCTTGTAACATTTTTTTAACTAATTCCGTATTCGTTGGTTTATTCTTAGCTGGTTTCTTTTTGTTTAGCTGATTCTTTGCTGTTTTATTCTCAGCTAATTTATTTTCAATTGGGCTACTTTCAGTTTGTACATTCTCGGTTAGATCAATTGGTTCATTCAAAATTAATGGTTCAATCTCAGTTGGTTTATTCTCAGGTAATTGATTCTCGGTTTGTTCATTCTCGGTTGTTTCAGTTTTAGGTGGTTCTTCCAGTGATGGTTCATCTGAATGAGCAGGTACATCATCTTTAGGCTTTGGTGCTTTATCCACTTCTGTAGATGAAAGCTGCTTAAGCAAATCTTCAATATCAACCCTTTGCCACTTCTTATTTTTATCATCAATGGATA